CGCTGGTTTTAGGGAAGATACCATTAAAATTTCCTTTGATTTTAACAGACTTGGGCTTCTCAAGGCAGCCTCCCTCTGCTGGGAAGGGCTCTGCAGGACAGCTGCGATCCCACCTGCAGCCCCAGGGCTCTAAGCTGGTGCACTGACACCACACCACACAAATACATTGCACTGTAACTTGCTTTCAGACCCAAATCAAGGATTTCCTGTATTTCAGAGATGCAAGCTCAATGCTCTGAAGAAGGTTTTGTTACTTTCCATGAACAAGAGTGTTTCACTCCCACACCCTGCTTGCATGGGGATGCTGCTGCAGAAACAGCTGCACGCTTGCCACATCTCCTACCCCCTGCCTTCAGAGTGTAGAGAATCCCAGTGTTCCTTCAGAACACATACATCTCAACTCAATGCACACTCAGAAGTGAGTTTAAGGGACAGTTATGAATAAAAAGCCCAATCAGAGCTGGTACAAGCCATTTTCACAGTGCTGCCTCCAGACAAGACATCATGAGGACTGCCAAGTCCCACCCTGTGGGCCAGGGCTGCTGTGTTTGTGGGGTGTGCTGCAGTTCTGGTGGCAGTTCCTTCTCCCTGGTGAGGTAACCTTGGGATTTGAGCCACTTGCAGGAGGGCAGAGAGCCTGACACAAAGGTTGGTTTGTGCTCCATGGAGCAAAGCCCTGCACCTCTGCAGCTGCAGAGCCACCTCAAGATGGGTTACGATGTTGCCAACCCCCTGGGAAAGGCTGAGATCAGCACATCCTCTGTCTGCACAAGAGGAAGCTCTGGTCACAGCATGGCCTGTGTAAGGACAGGCAGGAAGATGTCCCAGGTGAGAACAAGTATGAAGATGCCCACCTTCCTTTGCTTGGTTCTGCTTTGAGGCACTGGACCTGCAGGACACAGGTGGGAGGGGATGGGATGGTGCATCACCCTCCTGCTGCTGCCTTCTCCGTAAGGGCTTTGCTCCAGCCCCACAGAACCACAGCTCAGAGTACCAGGAGCGATTTCCACGGCCCAGTTTTGCAACGAGCTCCCTGTGGTTCAGCAAACCTCAGGCACGAGGTGCCCAGGGAACAGAAACCCAGCAAGTGAGGGCTGCAGGCAGCAGCCAGGCCCTGCAGGAAAACGAACTCGCTATGGTACCAAACATCCAAAAAACCAACGCGGTTTGGGGGTCTGCCCCCACTGCATGTGCCTGCAGGCACAGCACTGCTCTAGAAAACAAACTCTGCCAGTGGAGAAAAAGAAGCAAAGGGCAATGTTACCCTCGATAACAGCTCGCTGCCTCCCGCGCCTCTGCTGAGCAAACCACTGTTTCCTGAATTGAGGTGTCAGGCATGAAATATTTCACATGCTGGGGCAACCGTCACCATCTGCCGAGTGACAAACAGAATTTAAGCCTTTCCTGGTATTTGATGCATAAATCAGGGTGCGTCCTTTGTGGCTGTTTGCGATTCCGCCACTGACAGCAGCCCACGGTGCTCAGGGAGGTGGCAGTGGAAATGCTCACCCTGCCAACGTCCCCCTGGCCCAAACTACATTCCAGCTGAGCATTTCCAGAGCACACCTTGCTGCTGCCCTCTGCTTCATGCTTGCTGCAATCATTAGGATGTAAGGCACACTGAGGATCCAGGATAACCAGTCCTCCCCTTCCCTACCACTCTGCATCCCACCACCACCGCATCTGATCTCCATCGCTCACAGCCCCATGGGTCAGACAGACCAAGAATTTATTTTTGCCACTACCTTCCAGGCATTTTTCCATCGTCCCACCAGGCCCACAGCCAGCAAATGCAAAGGAGAGACCACCAGCCTTCATGCAGCTCTTCTCCATTCCTCCAACTCAGAGCAGGCAACCACAACTGAGGCGGCTCTTTGCTCTCCTCTCTTTGAGCACTGATTTACCACCTGTCTCCCATCTCTGTTACCAGCAGCTGACTCCTCCAGCATCCCTTCAGCTGAGCTGAGTTCTTGTAAAGTTTTGCTGGTGCTTCAATCAGGCAGCAGCTCCTCCTGCTCCCCCACACTCACAGCTCTGCCAGCACAGCTCCAGTGTTTTGCACACACAGCAGAGCTCCCAGCCGGTGCCCTCTACACCCCTTCAGCAGCAGAGCTGAGTCACCATCACTCTATATGTGGCTTTTCTGCCAATTTATTTCATGTCAAAGCCCTACATTTGCTATCTGAAGCAGGGCAAGGCAACAAGAGCAAAGCTCCCAGAACCTCTGCCCACATTTGGGTCTTATTAGTGCTGCAGCCATGCACACAAGTGGCTTCAATTTCTCAAGAATCTTCCTCCATGGAACAATCTAGATGCAGAAAGCCAAAGTAAAAGAGTCCCTCTGCCTCTAGGCAGCGTGGGAAGTGCCTGAGAACGCACATTATTTCTAGAGTAACCACACCACACCATTCCTCACTGGTTGATGAAGAAAACAGGCGGTGTTGGCCTCCACACTGTTGGCTTCTGAATGTGTAGGCATAAGGAAATAATGGGAAGCAAAAGCTCCATTTTGCCTTGTGCCTGGTGCAGGCACAACTCAGTGCTGGTCCCTGTCCTTTTTGGGCACCCACCAGAGCTGCTCAGACTTTCTATTAGCTCCAAGCCATGGCAGTCCTCAGCACTGCTGAGCAGCAGCAAGCAGAGCCAAACACAAAGTCTGTCTGTCTGTTGGAGGGGAAGGTGGGATTAAGGCCAAGAATGAGAGCAGTTCGAGCAAGAACACACGAACTTCCTTAGATACATTTCTGAGCCAGGCATCAGAAGCTCCAGACCAGCAGGGTGGTTGCAGCCCAAGCTCTGGAGCCCAGCCGTGCTCATCTCTCAAGCTGTGTCCCATTCTGACAGCAGCAGTGCCAGGACTGCTCTCTGCTTCCTCAGCCACTTCCACCTTCAGGTAACTGCGCTGCCGTTTTGGTTTGATTGCAGCATCCCAGAGTGAATAACTGGCAACGAAAGCAGGGCTGTCAGAGCATGGGGCAGCCCCGCGGTGTGCAAAAACGCAGCAGAGCAGCTCTACTTCCTATTTCCTTTTCCGCAGAACCAAAAATAATTGCTGCAAAGGTCGCAGGGTCTGGGGCAGCAGCAGGACAGCAGCGGAGCAGTGATGGTGAGAGCCAGCATTGCTCAGCCACTGTGATTGTCTGAGCAGCTTTCTGGTGGCCTGCAATCCTCAGCTTTTGCAGGGAGTCTGAGATACACATTGGTGTTTGTTGTGCTTTTCTGTAAGATGAAGGGCCAGAGGGGGAGCACAGGGTCTGACTGGAGGGAGGTGGGCAGAGGGCTCCAGATGGGGGGGCAGGAATTGTTCCCATGGCTGGGACCTGCTGGTACCATAGTTTGAGCACCTTGCTCAAACTTGTGTTGCTTGCAAGCAGAGAAAATGGAACTATTTTGTACAAACGCCCATTCAAAGACAAAACGCAATAGGAATATGGAAGATCTGATTTTAAATAGTGAAATCAGGTCATGGTCCAAGGCTCAGAAATCCTTAGCAAGCAGGCAGTGAACAGGACTCGAAGCCAATGCAAGTTAATGGTAGGAAATAGGAACTGAAGCAATATCTGCTGATGGGAAAAGAGAAGTGGCCGCGATGTTTCTTGGAGGGTTTCACCTCCGTGCACTTCCCTTCATGCACAACACTCCTTATATCAATTGGGAAAGAGAGCAATTGGAGTCAGATGTCTGACTGCTAAGGGCATGGAGGGGACAAGGAAGGGCGTTGTGCAGTGACTGATTGAGGTGGCACCTCACGTGTAAAGTGTCATCTTCCTTCCTGCAGAGAAGTGCACTGGGAAAGCAGCCCGTCTGCTGTGGTCTGTTCTGCTGGCAGACCTGACCCTTTTCCTGCCCAGGGGAGAAAATACAGAAAACAGAAAGATCTGTCCCTTGTTTTGGGTTTTAAGACTACTTCTGATGCAGCGAATGAGCGTGGAGCTCTATGGAAGCAAGACAGGTCAGTGCAGCAGGCTGGCAGCGGGCACATCTGTGTGTGTCAAGGTTGGACCTCCTGGACTGCCTCCGTCTAATGATGCTGTGCTGTGGGTTTGTTTTAGGGCAGCCAGGTTGAGTGCAGGGCAGTGCTTGTATGCCTGCCTTCTTGTATTTACACACAGATCAAGCACACAGGTGCACCCAGCACCACAACAACCCATCTGCAGTGAGCATTCACTGGAATGGCTGCCCAGGGAGGTGGTGGAGTTGCCATCCCTGGCAGTGTTCAAGAGGTGCCTGGATGAGGAGCTATGAGATATGGTTTAGTAGCTTGTGGTACCAACAGGAACAGGAGGGTGGTTGGACTGGATGATCTTGCAGGTTGTTTCCAACCTTGTGATTCTGTGAGCATGCAGGCACTGCCAGGGCTGTACACAGGGGACCCTGGGCTTGGGTTAATTGCTGTGGTAACTGCCAAACCAGAGCCTCCCACCTCTTCCTATGGCAGCACTCTGCAGCACCTCCTCATTTGTACACTCACCCATCCGTGCCCCATCTCACCTTGTGGCAATGAAGTTTAACAAGGATGAAGCCAAACCTCGTTGTTTGAGGAGAAAAAACCTATTTCTACCCCTCAAACCCAGGCTTGGCGCCCGCTCCCACCTCATCAAACACAGCAGATCCCCATCCCAAACCCCTCTGCAGGACGGAGCCTTCGGCCACAGAGCTGCAGCTCACTGCCTGCCACGGCTCATACAGAAACAGCGCGGTGCGAGGGCCGACCTGGCGCTCACCCCCAGCAGCCTGGGAAACTCCGACCACAAACGCGCTCTGAATGCATCCAAAGCCACAAGCTGATGCTTTTTTTTTTTTTCTTCTTTTTTAGCTCATGAGCTGTGACACTTTTTCTAAAGGCCCTCGTAATGTTACAAAGGAGAACTGAAAATTCCCGAGGTGATTTTATGCAGTGTGAAATATGAGCGCCTCCAGGTTTATCTCTCGAAAGCCAGCCTTTGCTGCGCTCTGGTTTGATGTTCAGAAGGACAGTGACGAACGAACATGGACAAATCTGCTGTGTGCACAGGGAGAAAAGGATCCTGCCGAGGAGACCTCTCCAAAGGCCTTTTATTTTTACCCAAACCTCTTTTTTTTTTTTAAGTTTTTAACACTTTGAATTTTCAGTACAGCAGCAGATGTTACTCACCAAATCCCTCCTAAATATTCTCTGTTCTACAGCAAACTGTATTTTGAGATGACAAATCTGACTTTATAAGGAGCTGGGCAGCTAACTGAGGACCTTGCTGGGGGTGAGCCTGGCCTTTAAAGCCCCAGGGTAAGCGAGGCAACGCCTGCTCCTGTTCCTAGATGTGTCCTGTTCCTGATGCCCCCATCCCCCAGCTGGCAGCAGGGAAACTCAGCTGGGGTCCCAAGGCCACGGTTTGGGCTCCATCCCCATTGCAGACCCCCCCCCTGCTCAGCAGGACGGTCACTATGGCTGTTGGCACTGTGAGTGCATTCCAAAACCAACTTCTAATGCACCGGCTGCTTCTGTGAAGGCAAAACTCCTGCAGAGAGGGGTTGGGATGAATTAGTCCAGCATGTGTTGGGTGGATGAAGCTCTTGCTGAAGGCTCACGCTTGGCACATTTTGGGAGCTGAAATCCGGAGGCTGAAATCCAGCTCAGGTTGCCCAAGGCCCCGTCCAACCTGGCCTGCCTTGGCTGCGATGATCCGGGCTCAGTAGGAAACCCACAGCCACCAGCATCCCCAGCACCCTCACACGTCTCATCCAGGCATGGAGCATTCCAGCAGTCTGCAGTCACCAGCCACCTCCAGGACCACCGTCCCCGTGGGTCCTTGGTCACTGTGGATGTGGAGCTGTCACAGGACCCCGTAATCAACCGCTGCACCCCTGGGAGGAGGGGTGTCCTGGTGGGACCTCTCCCTGTGCACCTCCTGGCGATGATCACATGCTGTAAGGGAAGGGACAGTGTTGACACATTGAGTGTTTTTGTTTTTCTAGTTCAACTTTGAAAAGGAAAAAGAGAGAGGAAGGTAAAAATCGTATAAGGATAAAAAGTGACAGCAGTGGGGCTGCAGGCAGAGCCCCTGCAAGGCAAAGCACAGCCCTAGAGTGATGCAAAACACCCCAAAGCACATCAGCAAGCAGAAACCACGAGATAGAACCATACTGGCAAAATGAAGGCATAGCTTATCATAGAATCATTAAGGTTGGAGAAGAGCACTGTTATCATAGAATCATAGAATGGCTTGGGTTGGAAGGGAATTCAAGGATCATCCAGATTCAACCCCCTGCTTGCAATCATTGAGTCTGACCATCAGCTTCTCATGGAGTGTCTGGATGTTGATGCTAATAAAGTGCTTTTGGAGAGTGGCACAGAAAGCCTCAAGTGGCTGAAATGGGCGCTGGAATTGGACTTGGTTGGAGATTTCTCCCCACCCATGTGCTTTGATTCATGTACTCCAAAAGAAGATGAAAGTGGAATTTCCCACAGGAAATGCAGGTTTTGCTCAAAATACCCCACATAAATAGAAAACCAAACCAAAAACACTTGTTGAGCCCATTGAAAAAATAAAATCCAAGAGGCTGCTGCTGGATTGAGGTGAAACGCCAAACCTCTGCGGCTGTGTGCGCCCCTGAGCTGCGTGGAGCTGGCATGGAGCTGGGGCAGCTCCCGACCCACCTCCTGCCCTCGGCACCCGCCTGGCCTGCCCTGCCCAGAGGGCAATCTGTTGGACCTCCACTTATGTAACACAGCTAATATGAACCAGCTGAGTCACAGAAATCATGTCAGAATTTCCTGCGGATGTTTCGTTAGCCTTCTTTTTTTGTTTTTTCTCTCCTAGTTCATGCAGGTATCCCCGAGCCTCTCTGAAAGTAAGCATGGTAAGCATGGGCTGCCCACCAGCCCTGCACTCTGCTGTGCTTCGGGAAGAGCCCAGCACAGCTCCAGCTCTCAGCCACGCTGCTGTGCTCTGCTGTTTTCATCTTGGGGCCGTTGCCCATTTCTTCCTCCAAACCGATTCTTCTCAGTGCTTGGCTCAACATTTTTGCTCTTCTTGGGTCAGCCAAAGGCACTGCTGCTCCTGGCCCAGCTCAGCTAAGCTGTGGGGCACGGAGGGGTGGGAAGGGCTGCATCGTTCCCCGCTGCCATCCCAAACCCAGAACAGCCCCACTCCCCTCGCAGCTAAAGGAGAGAAGGTCTGGCTGCATCCCCACCAACCCAAGCAAAATGCTTGCAGGATCCTTCCTGATGCTGGAGCACGTTGCCCCTTTTCATAGAATCAGAGAATCACAGAATGGCCTGGGTTGAAAAGGACCATAATGATCAATTGGCTTTCACCCCTCTGCTATGTTCAGGGTTGCCAACCATGAGATTTTCCTCCATTTTCAAACCAGAATTCAATCAGTGCTGCTGAGGCTGTGCTCACCCTATGGGCTCTGAGCTGCTTCCCTGCTTGGCAGAGAGGAGTGTGGCACAGGGGGTGACAGGAGCACCCAGCATCACCCTGCAGAGCTCAGGTGGTGTAAATTCAGGCCCCACACCCTCAGCACTCGAGGTCTGTTGGTAGAGGGCAGCCAAGCACGGGTATTGCAGTTTGCAAACACCAACAAACAAATTTACCTCTTTCGTTCTTCCTCCTGTGTGAATGAAGCTTTAAGAGCATGTGGCCCCACCTTGCAAAGCTCGGGATAAAGGGCTGTTATGGGTTTTTCTTCCCTTTTACAGTTACAGCTTTGATTCTTTGACATTTGCCTTGTTTTTTTGTTTTTTTTTTTTGCCATGCAAATGTGACTGCAAAGCGCTTCCTGTTGCTGTGTCAGGTGTGTGCAATGCAATGAGCTCTCATTGCAACATGGCCCTCGAGCCCTGAAATGTCCTCAGAACCCTGACAGCATTATGGGGCAGCATCACTGACACTGCAGGCAGTGAGCAAAGAATGCAGCCTGCACGGCAGAGCTCTTATGGGTAATACTTTGCCAGAGGGGCCTGACCCACATCTGGGCCTCCTGCGCCTCCAGCCAAGCAGCTCCTCCTGCCTTCGTTGTGGATCATCAGTGGGACAGTGGTTGGTGGGCACAGAGATCCCTGCCACGGTGCTGGGTGTGAGGAGCTGAGAGTGGTTCTGTGACAGACACAGCCAGCAGCACAGCCCCAGAGCCAACAGGCTTACAAGATTCACTGTGATAATTAAAGCAAACACCAACATAAACCCCCCACCAACGCGTTGTGATGCTGCAGAGCAGCATGAACTCAGCCAGGCAGTCTGGGTTGCCTATGGATCTGCATAATGCAGAGGTGCTGCAGCAGCTCTCTGTACAATAACAGTGTTATTGCTTTGCCAGGTTGCTCAAGACAAAGCAGATGGGCACACGCTTGCACCTTTGGCTTCAATCATTCACCTTTACCCAAGCCAGCCCCAGGCAGCCCCTCAGCCTGGCTCCTCCCAGCACTGCATGCCCTGGTTTACGGGAAGCAATCAGCCCTCCATTGCAGCAGTGCAAGGTCCGTGCAGGGCTGGCACCTTGCTGCAGGAGCTGTGAGCATGGCTGCTGCAGCACAGCCTGCTCTGCAGAATAGCCGTGCCAAGAGGGAAGCAAACACGCTCCCAAATACCTCTCCAGAGCAAAGCTGCCAGCACTACAAGCCCTGGCAAACAGAAAGAACTACTGAGAGCTGCAGCCCCTCCTGCCCAGGGCAGCATTGTGTTGGGCTGAGTCCTGCAGCACCGAGCAGTCATGGCCCCTGCAGCTCAGTGCACACAGCAGGAATAGGGCTCTAAAGCCAAAAGAGTTCCCCTACTCCAGCTGTCTGCAGCTTAGTGCTCTCTGCAGCTCCCCAAAAGGAGGCTGTGGCAGTGGGGGTTGGACTCTTCTCTCAGCAAACAGAGATGAGAGGTGAGGGGACGGTCTCACATCATGCCAAGTTGGGGTTAAGGGGGTGTGAGGAACAATTTGTTCCATCAGCACGGGCACAGGCTGTCCAGGGAGCGGGGGAATCACCATCTCTGGGGGTGTTCAGGGCTGTGGGGATGTGGCACTGGGCATGGTGAGGTGGGGTGGGCCTGGAGGTCTGAGAGGTCATTTCCAACTTTAATGATTCTTTGAAATGAAACAACAGGTATCCATCCAGGAGATCTTTTTTTTCCCCATGTTTCCATGCAAAAAAAAAGAGGAGGTTTGCTGAATGCAACACAGCAAACCACCCCCTCCTCCCCCTTCCCCCCAGGCTGCTTTGTGTGCCTAGAGATGTGTGTACATTTGATTCCAAACAGAGTGCAGGCAAGATAAATTACTGGGGAAGGACGTACTTCAACAAATGCATACTGTATATTTTTTTTAAACTGTCTGGGTCAGATTTATGCCTGTCAGCCAGAGGACAGTGCTCTCTGAAGCCAAACAAAAGCAGAGCCAGTGGTGTGCTCCTGGCAGCCAAGGTCACAGTGCTGGGACAGTGAGCTGGCAGGGCGCATCACAGCAGGAAGATGTGCTGCAGAACGTGGGCAGTTCCCCTCCGTGCAATGAAATCACCACCAAGAGGCACCCATAGAGTTGTTGGTGGCAGAACAACCTGCTACAGCTCCTACATTTGCACTGCCTCCTGTGCACCAGTCATGCACACACACAGCACTTGGTAGCCAGCAGCTTTCCTCCTGCACTCCCACCATTGGCACAGCATGGGGACAGCAGGGTTTTGGGACGTCCCCTCTGATCCTGTGCTCCAGCTGCGCTTCGCTGCACAGAGGAGAAGCAGGAAAAAAGCTGCAGGGCATCCCACACTGCTCTTCTTCCCACACAGCTGGGGGGCATCACACAGTTTCAAAGCAACACTGCAAGGAAATGTCCCATCAGCTCTCTGGGAATGGGCTGAGTTCAGTTTTCAGACCCACCTGCAGCCCTCGCAGGGCAGCTCCATGGTCTGGTGCTGCGATAGGAAGGTGTCACACTCATGTGCTGCACATCACATTCGAGAGACTGACAAGGCTCTAGGTGCACAGGGACCTCCCACAGCCACTCGTTATCACGGCCTCATCACACATTGTGCATCATTAACCACAATGCTCCTACAGAGGAAGACGCTGCGACTGCAGCACGTGAAGCATCAGCTACTTTGTACAGCGTTGTTTATTTCAGAAGAGAAGCCATGCAGACGGGGACAGCCACTGCCATGTTTACTGACCTCCTCAAGAGGCCTGTGACTCACGCCTCCCTTTCTTGTTTCTCATGGGTCTGAACTCCAAGGGTTGGATGGATAAGGCAATCCTTCTCCCTATCTAATCTCTTCCCTACTGCATTATCTCAACACAATGGTTTGCTTCTTTCCCCACAGCTCAGGCACATCGATGGGGAGAAGCAGTGGGCCAGCTGCACAGCACCAACAAGGCTGCACGACACCCATAGGGTTAAAACCAAGGCTGTCTGCACCAGGGAAGGATCACACAGGAGAACTTAGATTCATGGAAATAATGTACATGAAACCAAAGCGTCCACCTGCGTTTCTATACATAGTTTGCAGTTATGGAATTACAGAACTGTGGACTTGTCCCTATGGAAGGGATATCCAGAGATCCCCCAGTCCACCCCCCTTCAGCAGGTCCCCTACAGCACTTGCACCCCTCCTGGGCTCTGCTTCAGGCTTCTGCCACCTCAGAGCATGGAAGTTCTTCTTTATGTTCAGATGGAGCTCTCTGAGTTCAAGTTTGTTCCCACTGCCCCTTGTCCTGTTGCTGGTACCACCAAACACAGCCCTGCCCCGTCCTCCTAATGCCCTTCAGATACTGATCAGAACTGAGCAGATCCCCTCTTGGTTCTCCTTCCCCAGGGCTCTCAGTCTGTCCCCATCAGGAGGTGCTCCAGGCCCCCATCTCTGCACCCTCCTCTGGGCTCTCTCCAGTAGCTCCCCATCTGCCTGCAGCTGAGAACCTCACACTGTGTGCAGTGCTCCAGATG